AATTCTTCAGCACGCTCTTGCTATAGACGGGTAGAAAGCCTAGCCCCCAGGGCCAGGTGCCCCCTCCTTTGATATGAAGAAGATTTGGAGCAATGATAGCCATCTTGCAAGAGGTACCTCTTACAAGAAAGCTGCCTCCAAAGTCAGAAGGGACTCACAACCAGGAGAAACTTAGGCAAGCAGGCATCTTGACACTTTGGGGAGAATCCTACAACAGCTGACCACCTGCCCTTCACCAGGCACTGCCTGACCAGCTTTTGGATGAAAGCAGAGCAATCACCGCCTCACCCGGCTGTGGGCTGTCTCTTGTCTTGGAAGCAGAGGGGCTCCCCAGAGTACAGGTCAGTGGTTTTCAGTTCCAGTTGCACCTAGAATCATGTCGAAAGTTTTCTTTAAAAACAGCAGTTCCGTGGCTCTGTCCTTAGAGAGCCTGGCTGTCTCTGCCTGGGAAAGCGATGTCTGGGGATGTTTTGAAAGCACCACAGGTGATCCACACAGCTGGACTGGAAGTGCAGTTTCTCAAAACTCTAGCTACAAATGACTCTTCTACAATATTACAAAAACACGCAGGCGAGCCCGTGTCTTTTCAGCTGTCTCCCAGTTAACACCCGAACTATTTGTCCACAGGCCACATGCTGAGGTGTCAGAGAACAAGAATCTGTGACAGGAAAGAAAGTTCCACCCAGGGCTCTTGGTACATGAGTGCTCCATAGACAGCGTCAAACCCTGCCCATCCCAACCTGCAGGTTCTGCTTCAGCAGTCTGTCAAGTTGAACAGACATCCCAGGACTCAGAAGCAACCCTCTGAGTTAGTTATGAGTATAAGCAAAAGCCCAAACGTCCAGAGAGTCTTTCAAATAAACCAGGACAATGTGAATGGGGATCCAACAGTTGGGGATCAAGCAGTGAACTTTTTTTTTAAATATTTATTTATTTTATTTATTATGTATACAATATTCTTTCTGTGTGTATGCCTGAAGGCCAGAAGAGGGTACCAGACCTCATTACAGATGGTTGTGAGCCACCATGTGATTGCTGGGAATTGAACTCAGGACCCTTGGAAAAGCAGGCAATGCTCTTAACCGCTGAGCCATCTCTCCAGCCCCCAAGCAGTGAACTTTTGAAAACTGAATCTGCTTTTGTTACCCTTTGGCTCTGTTTGTGGGGAAAGCCCACAAGCAGAAGCTGGTGCAGTCCTGCCTGGCTCAGACAGATGGTAACAGGGCTGTAAATGAGGAAGAGAGATAGTAAGGATGGAGGGTGCCTCCAGTGCAGTGTGCTACAGACCTTAGCGGTATGTAAAAACCCTCTGCTGACCGGCCACAGTCACACCTAGAGTAGACTCTCTGGATGCCTCCTGCAGTGACTGCTACACTGTGTGTTTTGATCTTCCTCACCACTGCCTCCTTTCCTGGTACCCCACTGATTCGTGCATTCCTTCTGCCTTACACTGAAGCTCAGGGACATCTCCTTACTGGAGTTCCCAGCACAGGATCACCCGCATGCAACAGTCTCTCTCACACACTTCCAATGACTGTATTGAAAACACCCACCCTGGATGGCCGTGTCTCACTTGTGTGTTTCTCTGCTAGTCATTCCAAACCACTGCCAGCCCTAACTTTCTTGGGCACATCTAGAAGATTCTCTTGTTGTCTGTGGCTTGATCATTCTCTATTGCTCTCAACTTATCTTTTCCTAAAAATATGGTACATCTCTGGCCGCATCATAAACTTCTGTTTGATGTCCATATCCTTCCTTTATTTCCTTGCCTACTGGGGTTCTTGGCAAAAAAAAATAAAAAATAAAAAATAAATAGATGTTTGGTAAAATCTTTGTCATGTTCATCAGTTTCTGAACTTGAGATTTCCAGAGACAGAGAAGATTCTTGGACATTTGTACTCAAGGCCTTCTAACCAAGAACAGACATCTTTGTCTCCTGAGCGCCCCTCTCATCGGAAAGTGTTCTGCTGCTGCGTGGTACCTCACAGTCCCACTCTGGATTCCCTCAAAGCCCTGCTTTAACTTCAGACAGACATCCCATCCCGTGCAACCTTCATGCTAGGCTATAACATTTGTTTCCATAACGCAACCCTCAGGCTCCTGCAATTTTCACTCCTCATAAGGATGTCTGAGTTCCCTGCAGAGTCAGGTCTTCAGCCTGTTCCTCTGAAGAGAAAAACAAGAGGGTGTGGTCGGGAGAAAAGCCGAGCCCCAGCCAAACAAATGTCTCCTGGAAAAACCACTCCTGCAGAGCAAACAGGTATGACCACTCTGCTCACTCTGTGCCCATACAAGGCTACAGATGTACCCACAGCCAGTCACCCAAATTTCTCTGCACAGGCCCATAAAACATCTTTGGGGGGGGGTAGGGGTGCCTCAAATAATAACAACAAACAACAGTAAGAAAGGTCATGGAATGCAACCAGAGGAATACTTTGGAACAGTCTTACTGGGGGAGGGGGTCTTCAGAATGACTTAATAGCTGGTAGCCCTTGACAAGCAACAGCAGAGAAATTCGATATCTCTGCTATACATTTTACCTCTGCTCCAGGGCTCAGAGCACAGAACACCCCCTATCCCTCCCCACTCCCTGGATCCAGGGCCAAAACCACTGCTCTGGGTTGTATGCATGACTCTGCCTTAGCCAGATTGTGTATTGGCATTGTTCATTAAAAGCTTCCCTGAATCTCCTCCCACTCCCCACCCCCCCCAACCATCCCTGGTTTTCTTGTCTATTAAGACAGCTTTTCCCCTTACCCCATTCCTCTTTCTTTCTAGACAGGGAAGAGAGCTAAATTCAGGTAGGGCTGAGGAAGGAGGAAAAGACTCTGTGATTCAGTGGCTCATTAAGGAAGCATCAACCTGAAGAAGCTGGTGTGCACTGACCTATTTAAAATATCTAGCAGCAGATCACACATGAACTGAGGTATGGCCCTTGTAGGCGTTAGGCAACTGGCTCGCTTTCAGAATCACGACTATCAATAATTCCACCCTGAGGAGCATCTGATAGGAGATCAGCCACGGGCCCTGGAATGCCGGCATCCCCGCTGCTCTGTTTTCCCAGTTGTCAGCTCTGTCTATAAATTGTCCATTTATAGCAAATCCAGCACCTGCTAGGAACACCTCACCCTGCCAAGTGTTGGAGTGCGTCTCAGAAAAAGCCACTCTAGACTTTTCCCCCCAGCTCCGTTTTAACCTTTTCCCAACCTGGGAGTCTGAATATTTACATAGGAATTCTGAGGGATGGCTTCTTCTGCACAGGAAAACCCAGAAAATCAATCAAAAGTCGGTGCTTTGCTCCACTTTAAAGAAAAAACAAAGGAACAAGAAAGAGTCAGTTATTGTCCTCGTGGGAGATACAGCGCCATCTTTCTGAATTAGCCAGCCTGGGACACATTTAAAATAACCCTGAAATATCAGCAGGTTCCAAAAGTCCTGGAGGGGCTCCCTTTAAATTCTATTCTGTAGCTTTTAAGCTCATGGTCACCACCAAACCTATGATGCTGTCCACTATGTAAAAGTCTTATGTAAATATATTTAAAGACGCTTTCCCGGTACTAGAAATGTATTGCACTACCTAGCTTGAGTTGGTTGGGTTTTTTTTTTTTCCTAGAAGAGATTCTCAAAGTCTTACCCCTCTTATGCTCTCATTCACTATTTTGTTCTTTGCATAATGAAATATAATCAATAGCACGTAGACCATCTATGGAATGAATGGTGGTTGCTTTGCTGGGGGATTATGATGGCCAGATTAGACGCTTTGCCAGACCAATTTGCTGAGTAACCTTGGGAAGATAGGGAGACCTCTTGATGCTTCCGTTGACACATTCCCACAGTAATCCTGTTCAAGAACAAGATTGTCACCCTTTTAAAGCCCGAGAGGGAGACCTTGATTAAGACCATGTGGCAGAGGCAGCTGGACTGAGCTAAGGACATTCCTGAGTCCCAGCTCAACACTCAAGAAGGCAGCCCTGTATTTTCAGGGGAGGATGAGGGCCTTGAGCTTTCTTTTTTATAAATGCTGAGATGTCTGGATTAAAAATGACACATGCAAGCTTATTGCTAATACCAAATCAGTAAAGTCAGGTGGTCACAAGATTAGGAGAAGCAGGGGTGGTTCCAGAAGGAGAATTAGAGGGCTGAGGTACCCTTTGCCCTTTACCAACTCTTCCCTGGCATGTTTTCTTTTTCACAGCCACTGTCTCCAGCATTTTGGCTCTTGTCCCTCGAGGCTTTTGCTATGCTCTATGTACATCAAGCGGATCTCAGATTACACCCATTATTTCTTTGCAAACTGCAACTGGATTTTGTCACTTCCGTGCTCCTCTGGGGCAAATCATGCTTGCTTCCGACCCAGCCGGTCCACGGTCATCTACTTTATCACCCAGGATTCTTTTCTCTCAGCAAACAAGTCAGCCCCCATGGCTGAGCTGATCTCTGAGATGCCCCTGCTGGAGAAAGGAATGTGCAAATTAAGACACTACAAATCAGTTTGAAAACTCACTGACTCCTGCCCATAAATCTGTATCCTTGATATTAAAAATCATTTGGAGGTGCTGAAAAGACAGAGAAGTGGTCGCTACAGAAAACAGTAGTTCCGCTCTTTCCGGGGTACCAATTAGTAGTGGAGAGGGGTTAGGCAGACCCAAATCCATATTCTGGTACCAAAAATAGAAAAAAGGAAACCTTTGAAGCTAAAGAAGGCCTAAGAATAACTGTCAGCAAAGAGAGAGCCACACAGACAGGAAGCTACGCTCGAGCGGCAGTTCTGTGCTGCCGTACCCGCCTGCCCCTGGGCTTTTCACCTCCAGCCTGTTAAAAAAGAGCCTTCAAAGTCCCGGCTTCAGCTCGGACAAGTCGGCCTGCACAGTCCGCCCTTCCACAGCAGCTCGGGGCCAGCTCTGAATGCTGCCTGCACGCAGCCCTGGGGTTCGGTGTCACTTCCCTGGTGGCTCCTCTCAATCTGTTTTTAAAGCCGAACAGTGGCCGTTTCAGAGGCTGCGCTGCACGGACAGCCCTCAGTAGGAAACAGTTGGCCGAGAAAACACTCATTTCCTGTTCGCCGCCTCTTCGTTCTACGTTGCAACCCAACCTAGCTTTCATCTCTGGGTTGTTCTGTACTTGGGAAAGTCAAAATGAGTGCGTCGAATTCATGAGGTTTGTGCGATCGTTAGGGCCTTAAAAGACACTAGACAAACATATCATTGAATATATCCTATAAAAGCTATTAGTGGTAGAAGAGGCCTTGGGGAGGGCTTGGTAATGACTGGCTGGACAAGTGGAGGACCAAGTGGGAGAAAGGGCTTGGATTAAGAGGTGGAGAAGGAGCCTAGTGTCCACAGTGAGAAATCAGTGGGTAGGGGCTGAGAGATAAGAAAGGCAAGGAAGGGGACATCAGGGGGTCAGTGAGTCCTCTATGCAGCTGAAGCACAAGTCGGAAATGAGTGCTACTTCCTTTGAGCACAGCCGTAAGCCCTACAAGGCGCCAGTCTGAGATTTTATTCCAGGTCTTTCCACAAGGCATAGCCTGCACCGTGCCTTACATGGGGGCCTCAGACAAAAAAACGTTCATAAGAGATTTAAAGGCCCAAATGAGGAACTAAAGACATACTAGAAGAGTGTGTGTGTGTGTGTGTGTGTGTGTGTGTGTGTGTGTGTGTGTGATAGATGCTTCAGTAGCATATCGGAAATCTGGCTGAAGTCAGATTTTTTTCTGACGGTTGGGGTTTAGTGGAGGAGAGTTAGCAAAATTGAACTCTTTGAAGCAGTAAGGTGAAATTATGTCTCATTTTTCTTCTGGTGCCAGTAGTATTGGTTTTCAAGGAGCTCCGTTGTCAGTCTCACTCAGTGAACAACTTCCAGAACTAATATTCATATGCTTTTTGTATTTGCTTGACAGGATCGAGATCTCTGTTTAGATACAAACAGCTCCAATTATCATCTAAGCCTGACTCTCAACTAAATCACATCATTTGAGCTTCATATGGTGACTGGAAATTCTTTTTCTTTTTAAAATATTCATTCGTGTGTGTGTGTGGAGTGTGTGTGAGTGTGCAGGTCCTCCCTAGGGCCAGAAGAGGGTGTAGGGTCCCCTGGAGCTGGTTACCGGTAGTTGTGAGCTGCTCAACTTGGGTGCTGGAAATCAAGCCCAGGTCCTCTACAAGAGTAGCAAATGCTCCTAACCACTGAGCCTTCTCTCCAGGGAATTTTTAATCTGGTCTTATCTCAAAGTTTAAGGAATGTTCTACTGAAACAACTGGCAGCCCCACATCACTTAGACTGAATTTCTATTGTCTTTATTTGCAAGACCCTGGACTTGAATTTGTACAACAAATTCTTGCCAAATTGTTCAGGTTAGATCCATGAGTGACATTATGGCCAGGAAAAGAGAAGAGGGCAAGAACAACGTGTGAGAGAAAACAAAAGGACACAGATTAAAGCAGGTCCTTAAACGTTTACTACTGAAACACAGTGTTTAAGCACTGAGGCTAAAGCTCGGTGGTAGAGTGCTGGTCTCATGTGTAAAATGTGGGCCTGGTTTCCTCCACCACACCATCAAGCATCCATACACACTCACACTCACACAACAGTGTGTCCCTCTGGTGGTGACAGGTGACATGCTCAGAGAGGTTGGGAAGTGGGCAGGGGGCACTTGGGAGCCTTATTCTTTTTGCTTAATTTTGTTATGGGCCTTCTCATAAAATTAAAAAGCCTATTAAGCAAACACAGTCGGTAAAAGGCTTGTCTTCCAAAACATATCAGATGGATCGACCTGGTGACAACCGCCCTTGCAATGCTGCCCTTTGCCCTCCACATCTACATGCAGTTTAGGCAGTGTGTATTCTGAACCTGTTGGCACACTCATCAGCTGTCGTCTTTGGGATTCACTCTTCCTGTCGACCAGGCTGGCCTCAAACTCAGAGAGATCTGCTTGACTTTTTTTTTATTAATTTTCTAACGTCAGCCAGATTCTTGAGAACTAGGGTTTCTGGGCTTCTCACTGACTTAATGCGCTGTTCAGTCCACCTTCCAGAATCGTCCATTCTTACGTGGAATGAGTATCATAGAAACAGATTTCCTGTCCACATTTTTCCAGGGACTCTCTGTCATCTATGAAGCAGGGAGCAATAAATATGGTAGTTTCTGGCGGGTTTTTTTTTTCCCACTTAAGGAAACTACTTAGTGTGAAATAAATAAGTATATACATACATAAAATTTTGGCTTACAAATATTAGACTTTTTAGCTCAAAATTTCCCTGGCAAAACCAAAGACTATGAAATATTAGTCACAAGAGACTTCTGTTGTGCTTTAAATGGAGAGTTCTCTAGTGGTCTAGAAAACCCCTCTAAGCATCCTATCTGAAGTCTGGGTTTGGAGGCAGCTGGAGACGTATTAGTTCATTTGTTTTATTTTGTTCTAACCTAATTTCTCTTTACTATTTTTTCCCATGCAGCTTCTCTTCACACAGTCTAAACAGTCTATTGCTTAGGCCTTCATTCCATGACTAAGAGGGAGCCATTAGTGAGTGTATATACCATTTACACATTTATAGATCCTACTGTTCCTTTTACAGACACCGTCTCACTAAGAGCTCAGATAGCTCTTTGAACAAAGCATCGCCTTGTCACTGCCTCTTAGTAGATGAGGAAATAAAAGATGTGGACAGGCTGAGAGTCTCATCCATGACCATGCAACAGCAACTGACAGAACTGGGACTCGGTCCTGGCCTTCCACCCGGATGGGTGATCCTGCCCACGTAGCAGCTTTCTGGATCCCCTAAGGGGTCCCCTAAGACACCCCCAACAGTCTTGTGCATCATGGGCAGGTTCCTTGACTCCCAGGAAGACAAACATTCAGCCTGATGGGTGAAGGGGTGAGCAGTAACAAACACTGGCAACCTCGTGACTCAGCTTCCAGAAGATGTTAGCACAGACTACTGCATTCTCTATTGCCGCTGACTCAGGAGGGTAACAACCAACATAACAGATCTGGTATTATGTTGATGGAATTGTAAAGCCAAAAGCAATATTAATTAAGGTTGTACTTCAAACTGGACAGGTTTCCTGGGGTTTTATGTTAAGTCTGGAACTGGTTTGGTGCAGTTAAATGTGATAGTTGCTCTAACCTGATTGCATTTAATGGAAGCTACAGTTTGGATCTGGACTGTCTCCCTAAGGCCTATATATTATAGAAGTTTGCTCAACAGCTTGCTGCCATTGGGGGATGGTGGAACATGTAAGAGGTGGGGCCTGGCAGGTAGTCTTAGGTCATTAGTATATGTCCTTGTGGAGGAGAGTAGGAATCCAACCCCTCCCTCTCTCTCTTTTACAAGACCCCACCATGAGATGAAAAGCTTTGCTTTTCCACACAATTTCCATTATGATGTGATGTTCTGCCTCACCAGATGCCCAAAGTAACAGGATCAACTGACACCTCTGAAACTGTGAGCTAAAGCAAAGCTTTCGTCTTCGTAAACATATATTGTCTTAGATTGTTTGTTACAGTGTTGGAAAGCTGACAACCACAATGAAGGTGAAAGCAGGTCTTGTCAAGTACATGGGACTAGTGAGATGACTCAGTGAGTGAAAGAGAGGTGCTTGCCACCAAGTCTGACAACCTGAGTTTCATACCCAGGACCCACATAATGTATGAAGAAAACTGACTCCCATGAATTGTCCTCTGACCCATGCACACATGTATGTACACATGAACATTTAGCAAATATAGTTTTAAAGGTTTTTTAAGACTTTTGTGGTATTTTGGGAATGACCCTCGTAGGCTCACATATGTGCCACTGTTGGAGGAAGTGTGTCACTTGGGGACAGGCTTTGGGGTCTCAAATTCTCAAGCCAGGCCAAGATCCCCGCTGCCTTCAGATCCAGATGTAAACTCTCAGCTAACTTGTTCAGCAAAACATTTGCCTGTGCGCTGCCATGTTTCCCACCATGACCACAATGGACTAAACTTCAGAATGGAAGCAAACCCCAACTAAGTGTTTTCCTTTATAAGAGTTGCAGTGGCCATGGTGTCTCTTCACAAAAATAGAACATTGACTAAGACAATGTTAGAAACAACCTAGCTGTCTCTTGTTGGAGAAATAAATTTAAAACTGTAAGTCAGTTTAGATAGAGAGGAATGCTATACAGTAAATAAAACAAGTACACACATTCCAGAATGATTATAAAATAAATTGCAAAATAAAGAAACACAACCTCTCAAGGCAAGCCTACAAAGCAAGTTCCTGGGCTGTTACACAGAGAAACCCTGTCTGGGTGGGGGAGAGAAAGAAAGAAAGAAAGAAAGAAAGAAAGAAAGAAAGAAAGATGCATGCTGTTCAGTATTCCTTTACACTGTGTAAATATATGTCGCTGTGATTGGTTTAATAAAGAAACTGATTGCCAATAGCTGGACAGGATAAGGTTAGGCAGAAAAATCAAACTAAGGACTGAGAAGAAGGAAGGCAGAGTGAGGAGTTGCCAGCCAGATGCAGTGGGAGCAAGAGATGAATGTGCTGTGCTAATAAAGGTACTGTCATGTGACAGAGAGTAAATAAGGAATATGGGCTAACTTAAAATGTAAGAGCTAGTTAGTAATAAACCTGAGCTATTGGCCAAGCATTTACAATAAATATATCTCTGTGTGGTAATTTGGAAGTGTCTCCTGGGATGGAGAAAACTCTGTCTTCATATACATAAAAATGTGATAAATGTATGAAAATACTCCTGGGAATTATGCACACCAATTTCACAGGTGCCCTGTGGAGAAGGATAGAAACTGTAAAGCGAAGGTGTTCTATCAATATTCTTAGAAACTCTGTCGATGATTTTACTTTTTACAGTATTTAAAACAGCATAGTATTTGCATGAAAGTAGGCAGAACAACCAATAAAATAAAATAAGGGTTCTAAAATGTCCTCAAGGCATAGTCAGATGGCTTGCAAGAGGAGAACAGGCACCAAACTGGGAAAAAGTCTGCAGCAAATAGCACTGAGAAAATTGAACACCAACATTTAAAAGAATAAAGTTAGGCCATCATTTATTCCATATTTATAGATAAAGTCAAAGTGAATCAAAGAATTAAACATAGATGCTTAGAAGAAAGGATGAGAGGAAAGCATCACAGCTTGGGGCTCAACAATGATTTATTGCAACACCAAAAGTTTAGGCCACAAAGCATATCTAAATTGAGTTTCATTAAAATTTAAAACTTATATACTTCAAAGAATACAGTTAAAAAATAAAAAGGCCGTCCCCAGTGCTGGAAAGCAGTCGAAGGCAATATATCTGGTAAAGGGTTAATGTCCAGGCTTTCAGAGAAAAATACACAAGCCACAACTTTAAAATAGCCCTGTCTCAATAAATAAATAACTAAATGGTCAAAGGACTTGACGACATTCCCGCAAAGAAGATAAATAGATAGCAAGTTAAAAGGTGCTCACTACCACCGGTCACTAGAGAACGCACCTTGGTGAGATGCCACTTCCCAGCCGTGAAGACGAGACAGGTCCAGAAGAGAGGACGTGTTGAAGATACTGTTGAGAAACGGAAGTGCGGCCACTCTGAGAAACAGCCACACTGTAAAACTGAGCCCAGAGCCGTTATGGGACCTGTGCGTTCCGATTCTGGATAAGTTTAAAAAATAAATTGATAAGAGGACTCAAAAAGACATTTATACATCAATATTCATAGCAACATGATTCACAAAAGGTGGTGGAAAGCACCTAAAAGTTCACCAACCAATGAGTACAAAGATAAACAAGCTATGATGTAAATATTCTATGGAGTATGGTTCTGCCTTTAAAAGAAAAGAAAATTACTGGTGCAAGTCAACATGAATGAACCTTGGAAGCATTATGATAAGTGAAGAAAAAAAACAGCCAAAAGAACACATGCCTCCAATTTCACTTAGTGGAGTTACCTAGACTAGGAAGATTCACAAACTAAAATAGTAGTGGCCACAGACCAGGGGAAGGAACAATTGC